AAAATAGTATTCTATTTAGTTAATTATTTATTTCAATAAATCTAATTTTTGTTTTAATAAGATAGGTAAGTATTTTTAAATCCGGACCAATTTTATATATGACGTAATAACATTTGGTCTGGATTCAAAAATAATTACCCAGATTGATATGTGTGTATCGATCCCAATAAAAAATCCGCAATTAGTGATAATCATTAGTGACCCTAACTATATAATTTTAATAGGCCGTTGTACACCCTAGTGATTGGTTAAACATTATTTTTAACCAACCACAGATTTGCATTTATTGATTTTCGGTGTGGTGTATGAGAATCAGTGGACACAGTAATTTGAAAAGCGCAGTAAATTTATTTTTAACTTAAAATCTTTAAATAATTAAACTTTATATGATATACTAGTAAGAAAAGTCATATCAATTTAAATGTGTCAAATCTAATTCAATCCGAACAAAAAGAAAAGGAATCCCAAATAAAAATTATTGCCGAAGAACGAAAGATTCTGATACAGGTTTGTAAATTTAAATTGTATATTTTTTGCACTGTACTTATTTTAAAATTATAAACATAATTCTATATATGATATAGAGAGCCATTCTTGATATTCTCAAGCATAGTAAAACTATAAATATTGATGATTTAGCTGAAAGAGTGATTGACCGAGTTGAAAATCATTGTGATTTCAAAACTAACCTACCTGCAATTAAAAAATGCGTTGATGTTTTGTTAGAAAAGGAATACATTGAATGTCAAGAAGGAAAAAATGACGTATTTTCTTATATTGCATAAAGAAACGGTTTCTTATATTACATATTGATACGCAGTGAATCTTGAATTAACGAACAGTCTATGCAAAATAATGTTAGTTTCTATGTTGTAGGGGAATTCAGAATCCTATAAATTCAAAATCATTTAGTTCAAATCTTAAATGACTTAGGTAGTAATGAAATTTCATGAAATAAAAAATCATATGAAAATTCTTTTAACTTAAAGCAATTAATTATCATTATGTATTCTAATTATTCTAAAGTCAAAATATCAACCC